TTTTTTCCACTTTATAGTATATATGTTATAGTTTATTTATAGGCAGATCACTTCACTATTTACAGTACATGAGCGTAGAGATTCTACAGTCTTTGTGATGTAAACAAGTAACTCCACAGCAGGGGGAGTCTGAAAAAAGAAGCCAGTTCTGAAGTATTTACACAATTTAAAATAGAACTTTTATACCCACTGGATAGATATAGATAATACATTGAGCGATTTGGTTAAATTATCTATGAAACTATAGAATCTGACAATGTAAAAATACAAGAAAACGTTCTCTTGTTTTAGAAGGTAGACAGTTAAATCACACTAGAAATAAACCTCTTTTTAAAAATAATAACAATAATAATAAAGGAAAGGCATAAGAATCCATGCCGTCTTTTAAGGTTAAAGTATATTACATAAATAAGGACACAATGGAACGTAACTGGGGAAAAAAACAAGTGAAATATAAAAAAAACCTACTAATTAAAAAAAAAATCAACTAAAATCTTGATTCTTAATCACAGAGCGTTCCATTCTGCTAGTTTTACTTACTCTGCAAATAAAAAATCACAGAGTTAAGTAGTACTTACTCAGCATGAGGAAGGGAGGCAGAATTGGCCCCTAAGAGCAGTGTCCTTTTATTCAAAAAAAAAAAAAAGAATTTAGCTTTTATTATAAATAACAAAGCAGATGTGCCCCTTTTTAGGTGAAATTCTTACACCTTTCTCAAGAAATGCATCAGTTTAAATGTTCTCTCTTTCTCACATGCATACACACACTCCCTCCCTACCTTAGTATTAACTCAGTTTGGCTCTCGGGTAAATAATGCCCCTTTCAGTGCCACCTGGCATGTCACAGCCAGACTTCGGAAGCCATTCCCTGATTCCAGGACTGATGAAGGAAGAGGAATGCAAACCAGAAGGCTTCATTTGGTTCTATATTGCTTGAGATTGTCAGGGAGGGACGAAGATGCTTAGAACAGAAAGGGTTTCACGGCTCAGCTACGAACAACGGTGTGTTTCAGTGCTCAGCGTACTTCCAAAAAGACAGAAAGAAAAAAGAAAAGAGAACAAAAATGAAAAGATAAAGAAAGCGCTGGTCTGTAACTCTGTAGTGCTCCTCTGCATGCACCATTGCGACTCACCTAGTGACAGAACTGCTGCTTCCCTATGGAAGACACACAGCTGAGAAAGCTGCACTGGGGAGGAATTGGGATAGGCCTTTTCTTTGGGGCAACACCACTCTTAAAACACTGGATTGTCCTCTGCATTCAGCACAGACATTCAGAAATATTTTCTCCTTTCCAAAAAAGTCCCAGGAATTCACTGGATTCCAAGCCAAGACAGCATATTCCACCTTGAAACTAACAGATTTCATGGGGCAAATCTGTGCAAAAAAGTGAATGGGCATTTTGCCACTAAATTCTTCACATTTAGCATTTCCCCACAGTACTTCAAGGAAACTATCAGGGCACATTCTGTCGTCAGGTATTCTTAAAAAAATAAATCTCCTCCTTGCTTATTGCCTACCATAATACACCCTTTGCTCCCATCCTGTCTCAGGGAAGCCCCCTTTTTGCCAGCCCTGCAGGCGCGGGCGGCGCTCAGGCCCGGGAGCCCCGTGTGGGGCGGCCGTGCCCTGGCACAGCCCAGGTGCAACGAGCTGCAGCGGCCTCAGCACACGCGCAGCCCCACAGGGCCCAGGTGCAATGAGCTGCAGCGGCCTCAGCACACGCGCAGCCCCACAGGGCCGCAGGGCTCCGCTCCGTGCCAGGGCCAGGCCCCGCAGTGCTCAAAGCTGCTCCTGTGGCGGGCGAGCCCCCCCACGCACAG